ATGCCGCTATTAAAAAAAAAGATGAAGTACTACTACATAAGAAAACATGAATGAACCTTGAAACAGGATAAATAAAGGAAGTTCCTGATAAAAGGCTGTTTATTAAGAGTCCATTTGTATGAAATGTCCAGAATAGATAAATCTGTGTCAGAAAGTAGATCAAGAATCGCCTAGAACTAAGAATAATAGAGAATAAGAGTTAACTCAGAGAATAATGGATTTATATTTCAGGTGATTAAAATGTTCTAACATTGTGGAGGCTGCATAACTGTTAATATATTCAACACTACTACAGTATAGTATTTTAAATGGGCTACTTCTATAGTACATGAAGTACCTCTCAAAAAAGCGGTTACTAGAAAAAAAAAAATCTGTCAACTCTCTAATCTCTGACACACCCACCAATTTTATGTTATTCCCTCTCTGAATGTCTGTAAACAATTTATACTATAGTGTCTTGCATTTGCTCATTTATTGTTTTGAAATGACTAGATTATGTTTTATCTCCTTACTCATAAACTATAAGTTTCATCAAGGTGTCTTCTACTTCTTTAATACTTCTCTTCAGAACTGGGCATAATAATGGGTACAGAATGTGCCCTCAAACAAGGTTTTTAATTTTCAAGATGCAAAATATTAGAAATAATTACCATGGAGATGCAAAATATTAGAAATAATTACTGTGGAGAAGTTAATCAGACTTTGAAAACTTCCTTTTGGGGAACACAGATTTCTCCCACCCTCCTCTCTCCCCATATCCTTAATCATTCTTCTGAAAAAAATAAGTGAAGGTAAACACAGAGATAAGGTTTCATATTACAATAATCCTAGGCAATAAAAGAATAAGTTGTGATTAAAGTTGCCAAAAATAAAGTTCATTTAATGTATTAGAAATTCAGCATTGATGCACTTCATAAAAGAAAGTGTAGTATTTTCACCATGAGACATGAGCACAAGTTAATAATTAATCCTTTGTTATTTACTTGATGATTTTATTGTTCTTTCTGGGTTAAGGCTCACATATATTAATTATTATGACTTTAGAATTAGAAAAACAACAGCAAATCAAAACATAATAAGGTCCACCTAAGTAGTATTTCTTTAAAGGAAAAAATAATAATGGTAATGCACTATGCAAACAATATAAGAGGAAATGTCTCTCATGACACTATTACCCATCAACTGAAACTCACTGATTTCAAAGTACAAAGGAAAATAACAAACAGCTAGAACCCGGTAAACTACAATAATAATTAATAACTGAATAGTAGAGAGACTCACTAAAGATTATAAAATCCAACTGTAATAGTCTATGTAAAATGTACATCTGTCTCCTGAAGTTCATTTGTCATTCAAAACCCTCACAAAAGAGGGCTCTTCCTTCTCTTCTTCCCAGGGCTTCACCTCCCCCCCCCCCAATGTTTTACTCTTTGAAGATTTTTAAAGCAGTTTCTAAGAATTTATTCACCTTTCAGGTGTAATTTCATAAATACCTGCTACTATCTAAAACCATATCATGAAATGCCCCAAGCTGTTGAGCATCCAGGTATTCCATTCCCACTGGCCGTACATTCAAATATGGCTCTGTGACAAATTCTGACAGTGAAATGTGGGCAAACGTTAGTCACTTTAAGTCTAGTTCTTAAGAAATGGGCCATGGGTAATAGGCAGGGCTCCAAAGCCCTAGGGAATGTTGGAACCACAAGATATAAGGCATCTAGGTTCTTCAACTACCACATGGAGGAAAGTCACAGCCTGTTAAACAGGAGCACCTGTGTTGAACAGTTAGCTAAGCAAAATACAAACTTGTATGTGTTAAGCCACTGAAATGGTGGAGTATATTTATTACCCTAATTAGCATTATCCAAAGCTATATGTACATTACATGTACAAAGTCATCAGTATCAAGTTCCCCTAATTAAAGACATTTATAAGGGATATTTTGGAAGTCTGTTTAAAAGCCATTAAAGTAATACTAATTTTAAATCCTAAATAATTTTCTAATTTGATTTTGTTTTAACATAACCCCTTTAAACAGCAGAAGCAGTTCCACTGGTAATAATAAATTTCATTGCCCAAATATCTTCAATATATCACCTACTACAAAGAAATGATTTCTTCGGTTTTTCCAAATTAAAAAAAAAGCAGCAGCAATTTTAAATACTCCATAATATCCAATAAAAGTACCTAAGTTAAGGGCAAAATTCATTTCTCTGTTACTGGTTTTAAAGTGTTGAAATTATAATTTAAAATTTTGAAGATAGGAATTTTTACTTTAAATACCATATGGCAGGTAATTCTGTTCACATATCCATCACACACACACTTTTAACGATAACATTCTGGCATTCTAATAAAGTTGCCGGTAACTATCCTTTATAAAAATCCTTCATAAATGTGTTGAAATTCTGTAGCTCAATATTTTTTTTAAAGGTTAACACTGTTGGTTTAAATAACAATGATATAAGGCCTAACTGTGAAACTTGGCTTTAGTAAACAGACATTACAAATTTAAACCAACCAAACTACTCCCACATTCTTTTCACCATATCTTCATTAAAAAAAAAAAAGAAAGAAAAGAAATCCTTTTTTTAAGCTCTGTTGCATTTACCTTAAATTCCATACCATTATTTTTTCTACCACAATACAATTAAAATTAAAGAAACACCACATCTACTACTCCACACAGAATAAACATGGAAATTTATTGAACGTTGATAGAAGATTGAGGATAACATTCAAGAGGTTACATTTCCCAGAATTAGTCAACATAAACTATAAAACATGAATTTTTGTGACACTTACACTTTGTAGGGCTATACAAAGTAAACTCTAGTTCCTTGCTCCTTTTTAATACTTGATTGTCTTGGTACACATATGTGCTATTTAGAGGTTTAAATTTTTTTGCAGGGCTAGATAGCAACAACTTAATATATATATATATTGAAACTAAGAGATGGCTATTCAAAAATGTAAAACAATTCAGTATGACTATATATTCTTTAAAACTAATATACTGTGTTATCTCAGTGAATCTTATTCCTAGAAAGTTTCTAAAATATATTAAAATTGTTTATATAGTTTATGTATATCAAAGGGTTTTGAAATCTTCTATTGTCCTGATTTTTAATTTAGTTACATAATATTGCTCTCCTAATTAAATGAATGCTTACATTTTTCAAATGCCCACAAGCAGGACTGCAGGAGGAGGAACATGTATTTCACTAAGCATCTACTATGTACCAAACCTGTTTTCTCCTCCATCCTCACAACAAGCTTACTATAAAAGCATTATCTCCTTGTTACAAATGAAAAAAAACAGAGGCTTACAGGTATTAGGTACTTTGCATATGGCACAGCAGGAGTTCTAAAGTCTGTAAAACAAGGGCTTTTTACTGAACGACAATGGTTGCTTTTACAGTAGTAGTAATACAAAACAGTTCTCCATCCCTCCTACTCCTCATCTGCTTGCCCTCCCCACCCCTCTCCACTTCTTACTGAACAACAGCATGGAACATTTCCAGACCAGCTTCATAAAGAAGCAGTCCCTGGCCATTACACAGAGCCTGGCATGCGAGGCTCGAATCTGTTACCATGACTTTTCTTAATAGTAAGTTTTAGCCTGATAAGCTAACTAGTTGCAAATGGAAAGAGGATAAAGTGATCAACAATTACCTAAATACCATTTATATTTGATTTAGAAATGCATAGTACGCCTATGGGCAGATTTATTTTACAGTTGCGTTTTGCTTAGACCACTCTCAAAATAGCTTTCCAGAAGTACAGATTGAGCAGTCAGTAAAAGTTGCTTAATCTAGGTTTTGGAGACTGTGAGGGTAAACGAGTTAGTTTGTGCCTGACTATCCTGATGATAATTAAGATAACTCGAGGCAATAAGGTAGCATCTCCTAAGTGTAGTACTATGCTTCCAATGTGTACAAACGGCTCTGCAAACTCCCTGAACACAAGCCATCTTAACAGCCTAAGGGAAACAGACAGCCAAGTTGAGGAGGATGACAGCTCCAGCAACTTCCTCTTTCCCCGCCGACCGCCTCGGCTCGGCGCGTACACGCCTTTCCCCCTAGGAGGCAGGATAAAACAATTCCAACTGCACAGAATCGACCCCGTCCTACCACCACAGGACGGGGAAGCCAGCTTCCATTTCTTCCCTCGCCCCTCCGAGAGAATCTTTACCTCAAAAAAAAAAAAAAAAAAAAAAACATACATTTTATCAACGAGAACATATTTTCTACGAGAAACGAAAATCTGTGCTTGATCCCGCCACACAGCCTTGAGAGGGATGAAAAAGGGGGGATCTAGAAACCGGCTATTTCCGAGATTTACTGCTTCGAATCACTTTCCCTCAGGTCCCACCGCCGACCAGGGGGACAAGCTTGGGGTTCAAACGCCCCAATCTGCCTTCCCCTCTCCTCAGGAGGCGCGGGGGCGGCCGAAGCGACGGCCAGCGACCCGTCGGCGCCCGGGTCTCACCTGCCCAGGCCCCAGGCGGAGCCCCAGGCCCGCAGCCGCCCGGCGTCCCGGGAGGCGTCGGGGTAGGTGGCGAGCGGGAGGCGGGCAGAGGCGGGCGGGCGCCCCGGCGGTTAGGCCGCGCTGCAGGCCGGCGCGCTTCCTGGCGCGGCCCGGGGAACGGCGGCGCGGCCCTGACCCCGGCTCTCCGCACGCGCCCGCGCCCGCGCCCCGCGCCCGGGCCCGGCCGCGCAGCTCTCACCTGCGAGGCGCCGGCGCCTGGGCCACTAAAGGCGAGGGACGCGCCAGTCGGGGTCCGAGACCCGCGGAACCGTCCCCGGAGCCCGGGCCCTGGGCGCAGAACCCCCTCCGACACACACACACGCGCGCGCGCGGGAACCTTCGCCGCCGCCGGCCGAGGCGCGGGTCAGCCCCACACCCGACACACACCCACTCGCCGCGGGTCCTCAGGCCGCCTCCCGCCGCCCGAGCCCCGACTCGCACCCCCACACGCACATTTGCTCCTCTCCCACCTCCTCTCCCCGGGGACGCGCTCCTCTTCCCGACGCGCGATCCTACTCCGAGGCCCGCACACACTCTACCTCATCCTGCTGCCCCGGCCCGGGAGCAGCACCAGCAGCCATTTCCCCGCGGCCGGGGAAACACGCGCGCGCGCGCACCAGGCCCCCACAGACGCTTCCCCTCCGGAGCCGCGGCCGCAGACGCAAACACAAACACCCACGGGCGGGCCTCGCTCCCGCCCGCCTCGAAAGGAAGCTGCGGCGGCGGCAGTGGCGGCGGGCGGGCAGGGCCGGGACCCCCGCGCGCGGGGCCCCGGGGTCGCCGCCGGCCCGGCCCCCTCCTCACCTGCATTCAGCGCGCCGGGGTCCGGGCGGCGGCGGCGGCGGCGGCGGCGGGGCTGCTGCTGGCGCTGGGGCTGCGGCGGCGGGGGAGGCGGCGGCGGCGGTGGCGGCGGGGCTGAGGGCAGCAAAGACATGCAGGCAGCCCGCCGGAGGGAGAGGCACCGGCCGGAGGGGACGCGGGGCTGGCGGGCCGGGCCGGGCCGCCCGAGGCCGGCGACAGAGGCGGCGGCGAGAAGGGCGGCCGGAGGGAGCGAGACGGAGACGGGCGGAGGGCGGGGAGGGGGCCGCGGGCCGCGCCGCCGGGCTTCGGGGACGGTGACCCCGGGCTCGCAGGAGAGGCCCCGCGGCCGCGGCCGCCGACGCGAAGGCCCCCGCCGGAGGAAGCTGCGCCCCCGCAGCCGCCGGAGCCGCGGCTGTTACTCCGAGAGCCGAGCAGAGCCTGGCCTTGGCCTTGGCCTCCGGGCGCCGGGGCTGCCGCCGCTGCGGGGGTTTCTGCTGAGGCTGCCGCTGCCGGGGCCGAGGCTGCCGCGCCGAGACGCCAGCTCCTGGGGCCTCCGCTCTCGCTCACACACGTTCACACCCCCGGGGGCCGGGGAGAGGCGTCCGCGCGATATCGGTATTGAGATTAATAACAAGGTGCAGAGAGTGCGAGGAGGAGGGTTGATTGACGTGGAGGGGCTGGCGGGAGTCCGTCACTCCCCTGCGCCTCCGGAGGGTGGGGTGAGGGGAGGGGGCGGGGCCCCGGCGACGCACCTTGGCCCCGCCCCCTGGGCCGCGCGTTGGGTCGCGCTGCGCGTGCGCGCCCCGCGGCCGCGGCCGGGGTCGGGCCCGTTTTTCCCCTTCGCGCTTGCGGCTTCCTGAGCTCTGTTTTCGGGTTCGCGTGATGAGCGCCCGAGAGTCTCAGAAACCCACGTCCGCAAAGACCTGGTGGAAAAGACACTGGCGAACCGCCGCCCCCGGCGTTCGCGAGTGAGTTGGGAGCGGTTTACTGCGCGCTCGCCCGACGCGGCCTGGCGGCGGAGCCCAGCGCGGGCCTGGGCTGCTGATGAGGCGCCAGGTGAGCCGAAGGGAGCGAAGGAAATGGTGCCCGACAGCCTCATTGGGCTGTGGGGTTTTTGGTTTTTGGTTTTTTTTTTTAACGCGTAACGACTGGTAGTTGTATCGCGAAAGGTAAATAAAGGAACCTGTGACGCTCTCCCATACCGCCGTCTTATTTATTTTCTAATTCTGCCCTTCTCGCGAGAGAATTACGTTCGGCAGGGCCAGCTACAGAATGAAAACATCCAAATGTGAACTAGAAATATTAATGTTTATTTGATATATGTAAACATTAATGATGGATGTCAACAAAATGTCAAGGCCTTGGCATTTTGCGTGTCTGGGGTTTTGTTTTTGTGGATCAGCTTCAGCTTTTACCACCAGCGTTCCAAAACAAACTATACTAGTTTTAAGAGGCAAAATACCGTGCTTGGCTTCGGCAGCACATGGACTAGAGGCAGAATACTGCTGTTGCAGTTTTGTACAATTTCCATCTCGGTGCTTGCTCGGTTGTTGTGTACTTAACCCGTGTACTTACCGGTCAAGGTTTCAGTAGTAGTAGTCAGTAATTTTTCCCCAGAGGGGAGTTGTTTAGCGAGCTAAGCACATGGTGTTGGTGGCAATTAATCTTAGACCCTATTATTGAACGTGAAAGGCCTTCATCTCCTGGGGAGAAAGGTGCGATAAAATGCAAATCGTCATTTAGCCAGAACTGATCAGCTATTAAGAGTCCACCATTGCAACAGAACAATTGCCTCTTTCATCTTTGTCATCAAGAAGTGAGCCAGTGAGTGAAGAAGCCCCTCAGGACATAGAAGACCCGAGGCTGCTTCAAGTTTCCATTTCCCTGCCTGGCAAGACCACCTCTATACCAGTTTCTGTAATCCACGTCAAAATGGCCTTACTCCTGAAAGAAGTCCCACTCACCCCCAGCTATCTGTTCATAGTCGAGACTGACATATAATGAATAATTAGTCTTTGACTTTTTAAAGCAACAAAGCCAAACAAGTGACTTGTTTGGAGCCCGGAATAGCAAGCCTGCCTTAATGGCACCTTGCCACAGCAATTTTCCTTGGCACAAAAACACACCTCCCCAAGGAGAAATACTACAAAATGTTGAAGAAAAGAGGGAAATAAACACCTGAAAAATATCAGATGGTGGAATGTTCTCACAGATTTAAGCTTCTTCAAATACGTATAGATAACACAGATTCCTAACCATGCAGGTACAATAAACAAACATCTATAGAGGGTATATTATGTTCCAGACATTCTATTTAGCATCGGAGATACAAAGATAAGCATTGTAGTCCCTATTCTTAAGTACCTCACAATTGTTGTAGGGGAAGCAGACATATAAACAGGAAATTCTCACAGAACAAACCAGAAATGAAAGTATGAACAGTGACACAAAATTAACAGTCACAACAATGCTCAAGAAAATAAGGCTGATGGCACTGACATTTTCACTTGCATCTTAATATCTGCCACTTAAACTGCTACGGGTGACTACTGGGGTGAGAGAAAAGGAGTGAGCCTTTGTCAATGTTAAAGAAGCACTAATAAATGATGGGGGTTGCTGACCCTGGAGCCTAGCTTTATATAGGGGATGTTCATTGTTGGCCTCTAAATTTTAAATAGTAAATGCACAATTCATCAAATAATTGTGACTTTCAGAGTTAACAATAGAGGATTTTATTATAAAAAGGTCACTTGAACGCTGGTTAAGTTTAAATAATCTTTACTCAGATGTTTGCTTTATAGTAAATGAATTGACTCCACTAAAAACAAAAGGAAAGCAATACTTCCTTACCAAGAATGATTATATTATCAAAAAATAGATTGTTTTTCTCATTTTCAGTGATATTGAGATTAAAGAAATAATTTTCAAATACTTGGCACTATACAAATGCTGAGAAATGAAATCTAAATTTATATAAAAAAAAAAACTAAACTTCCTCATAAGATTAATTCAAAAGACATTCAAACAGAACAGCACTTAAGGCATTTATACAAGCAGATTTATAGTAGATCAAAGTTCGTAACCTATTCTTGATAGTTCATGAAAATTTTCCCTATTTGTCAGATATTGCAATGTTTTATTAAGATTAAAAATAAGAGTATTTGTAGCAACATTATTTACAATAGTTAGGACATGGAGGCAGCTTAAATATCCATTGATGAATGATTACATCAAGAAGATGTAGTATATACACATCATGGAGTATTAAACAATCATAAGAAAGGAAGAAATACAGCCATTTTCAACAAAAATGAAGGGAATTTGAGAGAATTATGTGCAGCAAAGTAAGTCAGAACAATAAAAACATACTAGATATTTATATAGCAGATAATTTGATAATGTGCTTTAATGTGGACATTAATTAACATACTGAGGGCTCTGGATTTAAGAGACAGGGGCAAGGGAAAAAGATAGAGGACACAAGGAATGGGAAGGGAGAAATTAATAAGTCAATAAAAAAAATTTCCAGACTTCAATATGTATTTTGTCAAGTAGTATGAAAGCCACAGTTTAGCTATGGTGTTTCCACAGCAGATAAATGTACTGCCAAGATCTCCCAGACATTTCCCAGAAATTCCTAGATCTTTTGGGGTCAGGAACATAGGACACTTAAACTGTGTTATTTATAACCCAAATTAAAATTTCTTTAAAATGTTAAAAATAAGAATACAAAAATCTCTCTTTAAAGACGTATCAATAGTGTTTCCAAGTGAAAACTTCTGCCTTTCTAAGTCGGTTTACTAGCACTATGTAGTTACAAATTGTTCTGAAACAACACTTAATGTTTATTTGTATTACAGAATTAGTTCATTCCTTCTTAATAAAAAAAAAAAAGTACTTGATGGTCCAGTGACCACCTGTGTCTTTTCCAAATTAACAATTACTATTTGATCTGAGTAAATCATCTGATCATTCCATGCTTTTGTTCTCTTGATAGCACAGGTAATTGGACCTATGAAACCCTTTATAACGATGTTCCTTTATCAGTTTTCTGAAGTTCTGCTGAACAGCTTGCCCCAAAGGCAAAGATCTAAATTTTTTAGTTTACAAACATTATTACAGTTTGATAAAGAATTAATTACATTAGATTTTACGAACTGGCTTCAATAACACTTTATGCAACATCACTTTTCAAGAGAAATGTCATTTATTATTCAGTGTAGTTAATAATTCAGTGCAATTTACCTGATATTCATTAGTATAACTTTTAAACAAGTGTGAACCAAGATGACCTTGAACTTTTACTTCCCAGACTTCCCCATAATGACATATCTTACCTCTTACTGAGCTATGCTCTTCTCCATCTTTCCATCTTTACTCATCTTTTCCTTCTTCCTCTGTTTCCATTGCTTTATTTCTAATATTTTGAGGGTACTGCCTAGCATAGGTACATTTGTCCAAAAAAGGTGACTACTCATTGTCCCTGTCCCTCTCCAGATATATGACTTCTCTCGCCATCAAACTCTCCTTTGTTCCTTTCTCTAGAACAACTGTGAATGACCAAGGATCATCCCACCATCTTAGCCAAGGATGAATACTTTCCACCATTAATCATGTGCCATATCATATGTTAGTTCTAGAGAGAATACAGAATATGCAAAGTTAATTTTGGTGCCTCCTGCTTTCTCTTTCTACACTCCCTATATCAAGTCCCTGTCTCTCTGAAT